AAATAGAGACATTTCTTGAATAAAACTGGGACAGATCAGTGTTTTTGTGTAATCTGCTGGGATTGAGAAACAGGGACGTCTGGTCTCACTGAACAAAACCAAAAACTTATCGTAATCATTGTTGGTATTTTTAGAAAGATCTGAACTGTTTCTCCACAAAGTTTAATCATCACATTTTCATTGGTTTTATTTGAAAGTGAATGTTTTTTTTTTTTAGACACAAACCCGCAGTCCTATAATCGTGTTCAAATGTCATCACATAATGAAAAGATCTTTCACTATCGACTAAGACACATCCAACGTATCGATCAGTTTCATCTATTAATAAGCTGAGTACAAATTCCACACTGGCGGCGTTTCGTTCACACTCAAATCTGATTATAATTATATTTTGGTGTTATTAAAATGATCTAAACAGCACCGGTACATCCCCACTGTTCTCTGTTTACTCCCTTCTCAAATCAGGGCGTTTGTTTTATTATGTCGTTTTAGATCAATATTGTGATTTAAAATGTCTAAATTATAACAGAAGGATCCACAAGTGTCACAGATTATAGATAAAAGCGTAAAAACAAACACAACTTCTTTAAATTATCTTAAAAGTCCAGAAATCTGTGCTTTTGTGACCGTGGTGTGTTTAAAACTGAACTAATTGAGACCAAGACCAGCCCAAGACCACAAGGTCCAGAGACCAGGACAAGACCAAGAGTTTTAAACAACAAGACCGAGACAAGACCGAGATCAAGGCCCATCGAGACCAAATCAAGACCAACTTTGTCATTTTCTACATTTATATGTATTTTACAGATATTTTGGCACAAATATATCAATGTTTTTATAAATCTGTCTCCATTTTATCACTTTGAGTGTCAGACCAAGACCGAGACAAGACCGAATCTAAGCACCTTCAAGACCAAGTCCAAGTACCTTCAAGACCGAGTTCAAGCTCCTTCAAAACGCAGACAAGACTGAGTCCAAGCGCCTTCAAGACCGAGTCCAGGTGTCTTCAAGACCGAGTCCAAGAGCCTTCAAGACCGAGTCCAAGTGCCTTCAAGACCAAGACAAGACCGAGTCCAAGCGCCTTCAAGACCGAGTCCAAGCGCCTTCAAGACCGAGTCCAAGCGCCTTCAAGACCGAGTCCAGGTGTCTTCAAGACCGAGTCTAAGCGCCTTCAACACCGAGACAAGACCGAGTCCAAGCACCTTCAAGACCGAGTCCAAGCACCTTCAAGACCGAGTCCAAGCTCCTTCAAGACCGAGTCCAAGCGCCTTCAAGACCGAGTCCAAGCGCCTTCAAGACCGAGTCCAAGCGCCTTCAAGACCGAGTCCAAGTGCTTTCAAGACCGAGTCTAAGCGCCTTCAAAACTGAGACAAGACCGAGTCCAAGCACCTTCAAGACCGAGTCCAAGTGCCTTCAAGACCGAGTCCAAGCTCCTTCAAGACCGAGTCCAAGCTCCTTCAAGACCAAGACCAAGTCGAAGCGCCTTCAAGACCAAAACAAGACCGAGTCCAAGCACCTTCAAGACCAAAACAAGACCGAGTCCAAGCACCTTCAAGACCGAGTCCAAGCTCCTTCAAGACCAAGTCCAAGTGCCTTCAAGACCGAGTCTAAGCGCCTTCAACACCGAGACAAGACCGAGTCCAAGCACCTTCAAGACCGAGTCCAAGCGCCTTCAAGACCGAGTCCAAGCGCCTTCAAGACCGAGTCCAAGCGCCTTCAAGACCGAGTCCAAGCGCCTTCAAGACCGAGTCCAAGCGCCTTCAAGACCGAGTCCAAGCGCCTTCAAAACCGAGACAAGACCGAGTCTAAGCGCCTTCAAAACCGAGACAAGACCGAGTCCAAGCACCTTCAAGACCGAGTCCAAGTGCCTTCAAGACCGAGTCCAAGTGCTTTCAAGACCGAGTCCAATCGCCTACAAAACCGAGACAAGTCCGAGTCCAAGCGCCTTCAAGACCAAAACAAGACCGAGTCCAAGCACCTTCAAGACCGAGTCCAAGCACCTTCAAGACCGAGTCCAAGCTCCTTCAAGACCGAGTCCAAGCGCCTTCAAGACCGAGTCCAAGCGCCTTCAAGACCGAGTCCAAGCGCCTTCAAGACCGAGTCCAAGTGCTTTCAAGACCGAGTCTAAGCGCCTTCAAAACTGAGACAAGACCGAGTCCAAGCACCTTCAAGACCGAGTCCAAGTGCCTTCAAGACCGAGTCCAAGCTCCTTCAAGACCGAGTCCAAGCTCCTTCAAGACCAAGACCAAGTCGAAGCGCCTTCAAGACCAAAACAAGACCGAGTCCAAGCACCTTCAAGACCAAAACAAGACCGAGTCCAAGCACCTTCAAGACCAAAACAAGACCGAGTCCAAGCTCCTTCAAGACCAAGTCCAAGCGCCATCAAGACCAAAACAAGACTGAGTCCAAACACGGTCGAGTTCGAGACGAGACCAAGACCACAAAAAACAATCTTTGAGGCCGGTCTCAAGACCAAGCCGGGTCTGGAGTCCTTCGACACTAATCTCTGAACTACGATGAGAACTAAAGGAGCAGAGTGACCGTGACTGTGACAGGGTAGGGACGCTGTGGTCAGGACGTCGGCCGTTGTAAATAGTACCGTGGGCAGGGTTTACCGTGGGCAAATTTTACCATAGGTATCATTTACCGTGGACAGATATTACCGTGGGCAGATTTTAGCATGGACATCGTTTACCGTGGACAGATTTTACCGTGGGAATTGTTTACCGTGGACAGATTTTACCGTGGGAATTGTTTACCGTGGACAGATTTTTACCAGGGACATCGTTTACCATGGGCAGATTTTAGCATGGACATCATTTACCGTGGGAATCGTTTACCGTGGGCAGATTTTTACTGTGGGCAGATTTTTACCGTGGGCATCGCTTACCGTGGGCATCGCTTACTGTGGACAGATTTTACTGTGGGAATCATTTACCGTGTGCATCATTTACCGTGGGCAGATTTTTACTGTGGGCAGATTTTTACCGTGGGCAGATTTTACCGTGGACAGATTTTTACCGTGGACATCGTTTGTGTGCGGGCTGCAGTCCTGCTCCAGACGCTGCTGTTCGATGATTCTGTCTGCTGCTGTTTTTCTTTTTTCTCCCTCTGCAGTGGCCTGTCTCACACTCATCTGTGTCCTGGAGTATTCACATAAATCCTGTGCAGCCTATTGACTTGTTTTCCCGGCATTCACTGAAACAAAGACGCACAACACATCAAACATGAACCACAGTGTGCAGCACCTTTAACCACACGCAATTATCACTTTATGTGGAGTTAAAAATCACATTATCCCTGTCGTTGTTGCTTTTACTTGCGTTCTATTATCTAAATCTGTGCATAATTAAATAAAATGAAGCTTTACAATTCAATCATGTGCATTGTTTCGTGTTTTAAGTCTTTAAATATTTACTTGAGCCGTGTTTAGAGAGTTGTTTTTACAGATTATTTGTCTGTTTTCACTTCTAATCCTCTAAATTCTTTGTTGCTGGGGGGTTTTTGGTTTTTCTTCTCATCATTTTCTCAAACACAACACGTTTCTCCAATCTCTGGGACCAAGTTTATCTGAAAATATAAAATCTAAAGTCATGTATGGAGTTAATAATGATCTGAAATAGTCCTGGTTTAGTCCTGGTGTAGACCTGAAATAGCCCTGGTTTAGACCTAATTTAGCCCTGGTTTAGCCCTAGTTTAGTTCTATTTTAGTCCTAGTTTGGTTCTGGTTGAGCCCTAGTTTAGTCCTGGTTTAGTTCTAGTTTAGTCCTGGCTTACACAACATGTTTTTTGTATCTCTGGAACTGTATTTTTATCTGTAAATATAATAATATATATTATTATATATATAAAGTTTTGTGTGGAGATGCTCATTTGTTTTTAGCCGAGTGTCTTTTATGCTAACGTTGTAGCCGCTAACACAAACTGTAGCTCTTTCTGATTACACAAATTAACATCGTTTTTGTTATTTACTAAACTTTATCCTCTCCTCACGATAAAAGTATAATGTTTATTTAATGTTTATTTAGTTTTAATCCAGTTTTGGCCACAGTTTAACGTCGTTTGTGTGAGTTTTTAGGCGGTTGTTGTTGTTGTTAGCCTAGCCTCTGTTTTAGCTCCTGCCGCAGACCCGAGCTAAACCGGATCACACCGGGACCGGGACCATTCTTGTTATAGTCCTGGTTTAGTTCTTGTTATAGTCCTGGTTTTGTTCTTGTTTTAGTCCTGGTTTAGTTCTTGTTTTAGACCTGTTTTAGTTCTTGTTTTAGTCCTGTTTTAGAGCTGGTTTAGTTCTAGTTTAGACCAGTTTTAATCCTGGTTTAGTCCTGCTTTAGACCTGGTTTAGACTTGGTTTAGTTTCTGTATTAGACCCGGTTTAGTCCTGGTTTAGACTCGGCCTAGTTCTGTTTTAAACCTGATTTAGTCCTGGTTTAGACTTAGTTTAGTTCCTGTTTTAGACCAGTTTTAGTCCTTATTTCGTCCTCATTTTAGACCCGGTTTAGACCTGGTTTAGACTCGGTCTAGTCCTGTTTTAAACTTGGTTTGGGCCCGGTTTAGTCCCGGTTTAGACCCTGTTTAGTCCTGTTTTAAACCTGGTCTAGTCCTGGTCTAGTCCTGATTTAGTCCCGGTTTAGTACCGGTTTAGTCCCGGTTTTAGTCCCGGTCTAGTCCTGTTTTCGTAGACTCTTTCCGCCGCTCTTCTCTTTCCTTCTCGGTAACTTTTTTCTTGTATTTTTGTGCTTTTTTTTTCTCCTCCGGAGCTCCGCAGTCGCCGCCCGGCCTTCCCCCCCAACCTTTCCCCCAGTTCGAGTGCACTGTGTCGGGTTCACCGGGTTTACTCTGACACCGCTGACTCCGGATCCCGCCCCCTCCGCAGCCACGCACCCCGGCTCGGCCAATCCCGCCGCGCCCACGTACCGATCACGCCGCTCGGCCCCGCGCATTGGCCGGGCCCCGCTACACCTTTGCCGCGGATTGGCTGCCTGTTACCACCCGCCAGACTCGCTGTGAATTTTGTTTCCCTTCCGTTTTTTTCCCCCTGATTATTTTTTTTTTAATTTTCCGTGTTCGGAGAATCTCAGCTGAAACGGGGGCAGGGAAACGAGGGTCCGCGCGCCAGCCGCCTCCCCGAAGCTTCCAACGCGGGTTTGGGTTCCGCTGAGAAAGCCTCTCCGCTCGGTCGGCCCCCGGTCCTCCCTCCCTCCCCGCCCGCCTGCGCTTCGTCCCCTCGTCCCGGTCCACCTCCGCCTCAGTTTCCCACACTTTCACCTGGGTTTACCCCGAGGAGAGCGCTCTTCCCGCGGACTCCTCCAGACTCGGGACCCGCGCTGCCAGGTCAGTCAGTTCCCCCCGGCTTTACGAGCACCTGTCCCCGGCGTCTCGGAGCAACTTTTCCCCCCCGGTGTTTGCGCGTGTTTTGCGGCGGCGCTGCTGCTGCTGCTGCCTCCGCCGCCGCCGTAGTTATTTAAATAATTTTGGGGGAGGTTTATATGAGGACACGCTCCGGTTTGGCTCCGTGCAGTCGCGCTGGTGACTGCGGAGAGCCGAGTCTTCTTGCACTCTCCGGGACAAACGTGGACATGCACACCACCTGCTCGTTTTGCACGTTTAAATAACTGCAGAAAACTAACTTTATAAAACAAAAAAAAAGAGGTAAGTGAGGGAGTTTTTTTGTGTGTGTGTGGTTGCTTTTGATTCGCCTCTGCGCTGCAAAAAACGCCAAATTTTAACATTTAAACACCAGGAAATGAGCTAAAACTAGTGAAATGATCTGTACACGCTGCAAGTTGTGTTAAATAAACCAACTCCAGACTTGATTTAACACTTTCTGGGTTAGTAAATAGGTAGTAAAACACGAATAACGTGATGTAAATGTTAAAATCTTGACAGTTTTTCCAGTTTTGGTGATGAGACTTGACTGTAAAACAACTAAAACAAAACAAAGCAGTGCTGAAAATGTGTGAATTGTGCAAAAAGTGTGTTTGTATTTGACACGTCTGCAAGAGTGACAATGCTGTGATGTTCGGGTCAAGTGTGATCCAGGTTGAGGTTTGGACTTTGCAAAAAACTGAAATGGAACTTTTGTGTGGTCAGAAAACGTTCCAGGGTTTTTGTTGGTGAAGGTGCCATTGTCCGAGCGAGGAAGAGGAGGAGGAGGAGGAGGAGGAGGAGAAGATCTGGAAACTGTTGTTGTTGAGGAGTGATAATTAAACTAACGAGGGAGGATCCTTGTGGTTTTGTAGTCCAGGAAAACAAAGGAGACAAGGAAGTGGAGGAATGAGTTGAGGACGCGAGGAGAGAGGAGAGAAGGAGGGGAGGGTGAGGAGCTTTCTTGGACAAACCTAAAAATTGTGACGTGAGGTTTTTTGGTTTTTTTTGGAGAAAGAAACACGACAAAAGTGTGGATGAGACGTTTGTGCAAAGGGACGCAGGGAGGATTCGAGGAGCAGACAAGTTAGGGAAGGAAGGAAGCAAAGTTTAACAAAAGAGGATGCGGAATTTGATGAGTGGGCACAGTGGGCTCGGAACCGGGATCAGAACCCGGAGAGAGAGGAAAAATCTGAGGAGAAAATGTGGAATTTGACGTGAGGAAAATAAAAGTGTGTGAGTGTGTGTGTTTGGATGAAAAAAAAGGGAGGGACGGCGCAATAATGTAGGACAAATGAGGACACTGTAAGTCGGGTTTGAGCAAAAGTCTAAAATAAGACTCGGAGGAGGAAGAGGAGAGGGCGGATTTGAAGAAGAACGGACAAAAGAACCCGGGTCTGGAAGGTCTGGTTCTGGTTTAGTCCTGGTTTTTCCTCACATCGTTCAAACAAATTGCAGCAGAAACAGAAACTTTGTCTTGTTGTCTTGGTTTAGATTAGGTTTGGTTAGATCCTGATCTTGGACCTGGTTCGGACCTGGTTTGGATGGACCCCGGTTTGGACCTGGTTGAGTTCCGGCTCGGACCTGTTGTGCTCTGATGAAGCTTTTGTCTCTCGGGTTCATCTCGGTTCAAATAAAAAAAATAAAACCTTCCCGCCTAAAATTCAACAGGTTGGATCTGATGGAACATGCAGTCCTGGTCTAGTCCTGGTCTAGTCCTGGTCTAGTCCTGGTCTAGTCCTGGTCTAGTCCTGGTTTAGTCCTGGTCTAGTCCTGGTCTAGTCCTGGTCTAGTTCTTGCTGGTGCCAGATTTAAAGTTGGTATAGTTCATCTTAGTCCTGGTTTAGTCCTGGTTTTGTCCTTGGTCTAGTTCTGCTTTAGCTCTGTCGTAATCCTGGTCTAGTCCTGGTCTAGTCCTGGTCTAGTACTGGTCTAGTACTGGTTAGTCTGGTTTAGTCCTGGTTTTGTCCTGGTTTTGTCCTGGTCTTGTCCTGGTCTTGTCCTGGTCTTGTCCTTAGTCTGGTCCTTGGTCTGGTCCTGCTTTAGCTCTGTCTTAGTCCCAGTTTAGTCCCGGTCTAGTCCCAGTCTAGTCCCGGTCTAGTCCTGGTCTAGTCTTTGGTTTTGTTAATAGGTTAAGTGTTTATATTTATTTATATTTATGACTTTCTTAATTGAAAAGTTGACTCCTGGACTAGTTAAGTTCTGGACTGGTCTAGTCCTAGGGCTCGGACTAGTTAAGTCCTGGTTCAGTCCTGGTTAGTTCTGATGTAGTCCTGGTTCAGTTCTGGTCCAGTACTTGTTTAGTCTTTGTTTAGCCCTGGTTCCGTCTTGGTTTAGTCCTTTTTTTTGTGTGTGTCTTTGTTCATTCCTAGTTTAGTCTTTGTGTAGTCCTGGTTCAGTCCTGGTTTAGTCCTGTTTTTAGTCCTGTTTTTAGTCCTGTTTTTAGTCCTGTTTTAGTCCTGTTTTAGTCCTGGTTTAGTCCTCCAGCAGTCTGTAGTGTGAGTCTGTAATGGAGTACACTGTGTTCCCTGCATAGAGCTCCACTGTTGCTCCTCTGCATCGAGAGACCAGACGACTCAGACCCAGAACTGGACCAAGACTGGACCAGAACTCAACCAGGACTAAACCGAGACTCAGCCAGGACTCAACCAGGACTCGGCGCCAGGCTCTAAGCGCCAGAGTCGGGGCCCAAACTCGGCGCCACGTTTGAAAAGCTGCAAAAAAAAAAAAAAATCTCCTCGGTTGGAGAACTGGAGCGTCACGTTTGTCGTGTGAGTGAAAATGTTCCGCACTGTAACTTTAGATGTTTTAAATTAATTTTTTTAAGCAGGTAAAGTTAAAAATCTGCCACTGAAGTTTAATATCAGTGAAAATGTCGTTCTGTTTCGAGTCCAGATGAACAGAACTGACCCCGGTTTAAGATCACGAGGTCGTCTGTCCCCGAGCTCCTCCGGGTTTTTAAAGTCCACGCACTTCGGTCTAAACGTGAACCTGGACTTAAACCCGGTCTTGGTCAAACTGCTTCGGCTCCAATCCGTGCGCCCTCTGCTGGTCGTGTGCCAGATTACAACAACAGTGCAGCCTGGTTTTGTGTCATCTGCTGGGAACTGGTCCTGGTTTAGTCCTGATCCAGTCCTGGTTTAGTCCTGTTTTTTGATCCTTGTTGGGGCATTTTTAGTCCTGGTTTAGTCCTGATCCAGTCCTGGTTTAGTCCTGTTTTTTGATCCTTGTTGGGGCATTTTTAGTCCTGGTTTAGTTCTGATTCTGTCCTGGTTTAGTCCTTGGTCTGGTCCTCATTTAGACCTTAGTGTAGTCCTGGTTTAGTCCTGGTTTTGTCTTGGTTTAGTCCATGGTCTGGTCCTGTTTTAGCTCTGTCTTAGTCCCAGTTTGGTCCCTGGTCTGGTCTCTGGTCTGGTCCCTGGTTTGGACCCGGTTTAGTCCGTGGTCTGGTCGAGCTTTGGCTCTGTCTTAGTCCTGGTCTGATCCTGGTCTGATCCTGGTCTGGTCCTGCTTTAGTCCATAGTCTGGTCCTTGGTTTTGTCCTTGGTTTAGTCCCTGGTTTAGGCCTTGGTCTGGTCCTTGGTTTGGTCCTTGGTCTGGTCCTTGGTCTGGTCCTGCTTTAGTCCTGCTTTAGTCCTGGTCTGGTCCCTGGTTTAGTCTTGGTCTGGTCCTGCTTTAATCCTGGTTTAGTCCTAGTCTGGTCCTGGTTTTGTCCTGGTCTGGTTCTTGGTCTGGTCCTTGGTTTAGTCCTGGTTTAGTTCTGGTTTAGTCCTTGGTTTAGTCCTGGTTTAGTCCTGGTTTAGTCCTGGTTTAGACCTGGTTTAGACCTGGTTTAGACCTGGTTTAGACCTGGTTTAGTCCTGGTTTAGTCCTGGTTTAGTCCTGGTTTAGTCCTGGTTTAGTCCTGGTTTAGTCCTGGTTTAGTCCTGGTTTAGTCCTGGTTTAGTCCTGGTTTAGTCCTGGTTTAGTCCTGGTTTAGAGTCCTGGTTTAGTAGTCCTGGTTTAGTCCTGGTTTAGTCCTGGTTTAGACCTGGTTTAGTGGTTTAGACCTCCTGGTTTAGTCCTGGTTTAGTCCTGGTTTAGACCTGGTTTAGTCCTGGTTTAGACCTCCTGGTTTAGACCTCCTGGTTTAGTCCTGGTTTAGTCCTTTTCCTGGTTTAGTCCTGGTTTAGACCTGGTTTAGACCTGGTTTAGAGTCCTGGTTTAGAGTCCTGGTTTAGTCCTGGTTTAGTGGTTTAGTCCTGGTTTAGACCTGGTTTCCTGGTTTAGTCCTGGTTTCCTGGTTTAGTCCTGGTTTAGCCTGGTTCCTGGTTTAGAGTCTCCTGGTTTACCTGGTTTAAAAAAAAAAAAAAAACAACACCGACAAGTTATTTTTATTTTTATCTTTATTATAATTGTTAATTTTACTGATTGTTTTTTTTATTTTTGAGTTTGTGCCGAGAGAGAAACAAGAATCGTACCACAGAAACATTTTAAACAACAGAAAAGGAGCAGGAAGAAGAAAAAAAAAAACTTATATAAACTCAAACCTTTTAAAAAATGATGAATATTGATCAAAGAAATTTACAAATATTTACACAAAATTAAATAAATTTAATTCTGTGGTCTTAAAAACAAATAATAATGATAAAGAAGGAACAGAAATTATTATTATTTATTATTTTTATTTATTTCTTTATCTGTTTACAGGTTTAAATAAAAGTCTTTCTGTTCTGTTGTTTCTGCAGGACCATGTGAGGTCTCGGGGTCTTAGTCCTGGTTTGATCCTAGTCTAGACCTGGATTTTGGCCTGGTTAAGTCCCTGATAGTCCAGCTGGTTTAGACTTTAGTCTTAATTCAGACCTGGTTTAGTTTCAGTTTAGTCCTGGTTCAGACCTGGTTTAGTCCTGGTTTAGTCCTGGTTTAGTCCTGGTTTAGTTTCAGTTTAGTCCTGGTTCAGACCTGGTTTAGTCCTGGTTTAGTCCTGGTTTAGTCCTGGTTTAGTCCTGGTTTAGACCTGGTTTAGTCCTGGTTTAGTCCTGGTTTAGTTTTAGTCCTGGTTTAGACTGGTTTAGACCTGGTTTAGTCTGGTTTAGTCCTGGTTTAGTCCAGTTTTAGTCCTGGTTTAGTCCTGGTTTAGTCCTGGTTTAGACCTGGTTTAGTCCTGGTTTAGTCCTGGTTTAGACCTGGTTTAGACCTGGTTTAGACTGTTTAGTCCTGGTTTAGTCCTGGTTTAGTCAGTCTGGTTTAGTCTGGTTTAGTCCTGGTTTATCCTGGTTTAGTCCTGGTTTCTGGTTTGTTTGAAACTTTTACCCTCTAACCTGAAGTTTGTTGGTTTAATCCCAAATATTGTTGTGTCCTTGAGCAAGACACTCCCCCAGGGTTGTTTGGTGACCCTCGCGTGACCCCTGCGTGACCTCTCTCCTCTGTGACCTCTCTGTGACTCTGTGACCTCTCTGTGACCCCTCTCTCTGTGACCCCTCTGTGTGCGTGCAGGTTGGACCAGGTCTATAACCGGTCTGGACATGGACTGGAGGCCGTACCCGGACCTGGAGGCGGCCGAGGTCCTGGTCAGCATGAGCTCCTGGGGTCAAAGTTCACACAAGCTCCGCCCCCTGACCCCGACCTGTGACTCGTGCGACTCGATTCACCTGGAGCCCAACGGAGACCAGCGCGACCTGGTGGCCCTGTCCTCCCTGGTACGAGTCCGGACCTGGTCTAGACCTGGTTTAGGCCTGGTTTAGTCTCTGGTTTAGTCCTGGTTTAGTCCTGGTTTAGTCTCTGGTTTAGTCTCTGGTTTAGTCCTGGTTTAGACCTGGTTTAGACCTGGTTTAGTCCTGGTTTAGTCCTGGTTTAGTCCTGGTTTAGACCTGGTTTAGTCCTGGTTTAGACCTGGTTTAGACCTGGTTTAGTCCTGGTTTAGTCCTGGTTTAGTCCTGGTTTAGTCCCTGGTTTAGTCCTGGTTTAGTCCTGGTTTAGTCCTGGTTTAGTCCTGGTTTAGTCCTGGTCTAGTCCTGGTTTAGACCTGGTTTAGTCCTGGTTTAGTCTCTGGTTTAGTCCTGGTTTAGTCCTGGTTTAGTCTGGTTTAGAGTCCTGGTTTAGAGTCCTGGTTTAGACCTGGTTTAGACCTGGTTTAGTCTCTGGTTTAGACCTGGTTTAGTCTCTGGTTTAGACCTGGTTTAGTCCTGGTTTAGTCCTGGTTTAGTTCTGACTCTGGTCTTTGTCTTTAGTGCATGACGCCTCCTCACAGTCCGAGTTTTGCCGAGACGTCGACCACACCTGTCCTCACCTGCTCCGCCCCCAAGCCCCTGATGCCCCGCCCGCTCTTCGCCACGGAGACCACGGCGTCCTGCCCGCTCCCCGTTTACGCCGACGTGGCCCCTCCCACTCTGAGCCGCGCCATGGCGACCAGCGTCATCCGCCACACGGCCGACACCGACTTCCTGCCCAAGAGCGTCCCGGAAAACGCCAACGTCCTGATGACTCCGCCCGCCCCGCCGCCGCCGGTCCTCACGCCCGAGCCCCGGGAACGCCACGCCCCCCCCGCCGCCGCCCAGGACGCGCCCGTGTTAACCCCTGAGCCGCCGACGCTGCAGATAATCGCCGCCGTCACGGAAAACGCCGCCCCAGTTTTATCCCCGGAGGCGCCGATCGAACGCCACGCCCCCAGTCTGCCGCCGAGCCCCCCCCGGCCTGTCCCCGCCCGCGCCGCCACCCTGCCCCGCCCTCCCCCGTGCCCGCCCCCGTGCCCGCCTCTCCTCCCGCCGCCGCCCCGGTCTCCTCCGCTTCGCAGAACGACGCGCCCGACCGCAGCGGCGCCCTCCCCACAGACGCTCCCTCCTCGCACGCGGCCGAATGCCCAAATATGGAGCCGCCGCCGCCGCTGTCGTCGCACGTAGTCCCGCCCCCCACGACCACGACGGCCCCGCCCTCGCCGCTGCTGTGCCAGGTGATCCCGGTCGGCGGCAGGTCGGGGGTCATCTCCGCCATCGTCCAGGGGTCACCCAAGCAGATCCTGGTCAGCTCCGGCGTTCCTCAGGGCGCCGTCATGCTCGTCGTGCCCCAGACGCAGGTGAGTCTCTAGACCTGGTCCAGTCCTGGTTTAGTCCTGGTCCCGTCCTCGTTTAGTCCTTGTATTTTCAGGTCGGTTCTCGGGGCAGTGCGGTCGTGACGAAGCTCCTCCCCCTGGCTCCGGCGCCGGTGTACGTCGCCACGGGAACGGGCCCGGGCAGCGGCGTCTCCACGGTGACGCCGGCGGTGGAGTTCTCGCGGCGAAGGAACTACGTCTGCTCGTTCCCCGGCTGCAAGAAAACCTACTTCAAGAGCTCGCACCTGAAAGCCCACCTGAGGACGCACACGGGTCAGTCCGGGTCCAAGTCCCGGTCCGGGTCCAAGTCTGGACCTGGTTTAGTCCTGGTTTAGTCCTGGTTTAGTCCTGGTTTAGTCCTGGTTTAGTCCTGGTTTAGTCCTGGTTTAGTCCTGGTTTAGTCCTGGTTTAGTCCTGGTTTAGTCCTGGTTTAGTCCTGGTTTAGACCTGGTTTAGTTCTTTATAGTCTGTGTTTTGTTTCTGTGGTGAAGAGTAAATGTCTGAGGAGGTTGTGGTTCTGCTGCTGTGTCTAACCCTCTTCTTCTTCTTCTTCTTCTTCTTCTTCTTCTTCTTCTTCTTCTTCTTCTTCTTCTTCTTCTTCTTCTTCTTCTTCAGGGGAGAAGCCGTTCAGTTGTGCGTGGGACGGCTGTGATAAGAAGTTCGCCCGCTCGGACGAGTTGTCGCGCCATCGCCGCACTCACACGGGGGAGAAGAAGTTCGCGTGCTCGGTGTGCGAGCGCCGCTTCATGCGCAGCGACCACCTGACCAAGCACGCGCGCCGCCACATGACCGCCAAACGCTCGGCGTGGGCCACCGCCGCCGCCGTCGGCCCGTCACAGCGCTCCGACCTCGCCAAGACCAACTGAATCGAACGCTCCGGGACGCCGCCCGCCCCAACGCCCGCCCGCCCGCCCAACGCCCGCCCCAACGCCCGCCCAACGCCCCCCAACGCCCGCCCCACGCCCGCCCAACGCCGCCCCAACGCCCGCCCAACGCCCGCCCGGTCTCCAGGTCCAGTCACGGGCGCCATTTTGAGGACCGTCGAGGGTTTGGTCTTGGATTGTTTGGTCCTCGACTCTGGGCCTCGGTGTAAAATAAGAATCGAATGTTTCAAACGGCACCTAAGAGTTTAAAGTGTAGTACGGAACTTTTCTGACAGAGGGTCAGGTCGCCTGCTCGTCTCCACGGCGACCGAATGTTCCACAGTGTCTCTGCAGATTTACAAGAACGAAGTTTGTCTGGGCTCCGACACTTCACACTTCAAAAGACATTCTGCCCCGCCCCCTCGCTCTGACCCGCCCCCTCGCTCTGACCCCTCCCCTCGCTCTGACCCCGCCCCCTCGCTGGTGACGAAGCCAAACCCACATAATTAACCAATCAGAGCGAAGAACGAGAAGGAGCCTGAAGAACTGTCATGTTCTTCTGAAATATGAAAAGGCCTCGAGTCTTAAACAAAAAAAATATCATTGAAATAATAAATTCTAAATTTAAATAAAAAATAATTATATTGATGTAAATGTTCGAGTCAAAATTTAAACATTAATAAATGAATAAAATATAAAGTCTGAGCTGGAGCAGTGAAACCAAACAGGCCAAGTTACAGTTCGGATCTGTGGAGCGGCCGCCCTGTTTATCCAAACCAAATCTGACCAATAAAAACCTACAGTTCTTTTTAGTCCTGGTTTAGTCCTGGGTTAGTTCAATCAGTTTAATGCCATAATGCGGAAATTTCTGCACTGCAAAAAAATCTTAAGATAAAAACACTTAAATCGTGACAAGTTTTTTAAAAATAATCGACGAGAATGAAGCGTCTCAGAGCTCGAGAGTCCATCATAAATCTGAAAACGAGATGAAGAAACCTCGACTGTAACGTCCCTCTGTCAGAAAAGTCCCGCAGTGCAGCTTTAACTGAGAGCGAGCGCCACGTCAACACTTTAGTTTAGGGTCAGACGGAGTTTGAACTTTGGGCCGACGGAGACCTGTGACCTTTGACGTTTGACTCTGAAGCGCGGGGCGAGTCCGGGGGCGGGTCCGGGGGCGGGTCCGGGGGGCGGGTCCGGGGGGCCGGGTCCGGGGGCGGAGCTCTCAGGACGGTTTTCCAGCCAGTTCAGCCTTTTCCTACAAACACAACCAAGGAACCACGAGGCGCCGGCCGCGTTTGGACGAGCGCGAAACGTCGACGAAAAAAAGAGCCACACTGCACTTTCAGAACCAGAACCTCCAGAGAACCTCCAGAGAACCTCCAGAGAACCTCCAGAGAACCTCCAGAGCCGAGCAGAGTTTGGCTCCGACGTTTTTCCTCTGGAGCCACTTTTACAAAACGAAAATGTCAGAGCGCGACGTATTTTAGTGTAAATATTAAAGCCTTAAGAGATAAAATTATGAAACGAGCGCGAAATTAAGAAAAACTTCACGACGAACATGTGAGTCAGTTTAGTCACATTTTTGTCATTTTTTTAGCAGATTTTTTGTATTTTACCAAAACAAATATCAGTTTTTGTTTCTCTTTATTGTTGTAGGAATCAAAAATAGAAACACTGGGACATTTTTTTGTATAAACTGGGACAAATCAGTGGTTTTGTGTAAATCTGCAGGGACAGAGACACGGGGACGACACAGCAAAAAGTGGAGTTTTAAAATAGACTTTAACATTTTCTCAGAGTTTATCTGAGTCACTCTGTTCTAGAGTTAATTTAACATTTGTGTAAATGTTCATGAAGTAAAACTGGACCAAAGTTTCTGTTTAACCCAAATCCAGAGTTAAATGAAGGTTTAGAGAGTAAACAGATAACACTTTGTAGAGTTATCCTGATTTAACTCAACAACACACACAGGAGTTTTATTTTTACACTTTATTTGAGTTAATTTAAGATGAAATTATGAACAAAACTGGTTCAAACTGGTGGGAGTTTGAAGTGGTGGAAGGAGACAAATTCAAAACTTTTTCCATGACTTTTTCATGAGCTAAAGTGAATTTTCCATGACTTTCCAGCACCTACATGTGTAGAACTGATCAGAGTTTTAGAGTTAAATCTGAAATGTTAAATCTTTCCTCTCACTTTACGGTTTGAGATGATAGTTTTTATTTTATTGTTGTCGTCTCTTTTAAACAAAAGACTCAGACGTTCACAAAGAATCAGAACAGACTCGTGGGAACTGAACACAACACTGGAGCTGTGGGAAAGACACACTCAAATTCCAGGACTTTTCCAGGCCTGGAAAATGACATTTTCAATTTCCATGACTTTTCCAAGATTCCCATGACCGTGGGAACTCTGCAGATTAACATTAACTTAAGACAAATCAATTCTGACTTATAACTCCAACCCACATTTAACTTTTCAAAGAGTTAAAATATCACTTTTTGTGTTAAAAAAACAACTCAGGAATATTTCACCCTGAAGTTTTAACTCCAGTTTTTGCTGTGTGCTCTTCGAGGGAAACGGTTTGATTCTTAAAACATTTTTACACGACTCTGGTCCGTTTATTCGTGCACAAAGATCAGGATCAGAACGACACAACTTCAACACTCAGAGGAGTTAATTACATCAGGTTTGAGTTCTTCACATTTCTCAAAACGTCTGATTCAGAGAACGAAGAGCTGCTGGTGGCTCCCGAGCTCCAGACTCTGACTCCAGACTCCAGGACCAGGTTTACGGTTCAGATCTTTGTAACTCCACCTGAAACTCAAACCGTCACAAAGTTCAGCCTCTTCTGTGTCGGGAGAAATAAAGTCCAAAAAAGTCCAATAATTTTTCCACAACAGCTTCAGAAAGTTCCCCCCAAAAAGTCGTGAGAGTTTCCGCCGAAAGAACTTTACTCCAGGAGAAGAACACGAGAAAAACGAGGAGAACACGGAGCCGGAGGAACGTCTGTGGAGCAGAAGTTTCTCCGTCTACGAAAACTATGAAATCATCTCAGATTCTAGAACGTGAACGCGACCTGCAGCGTCAGAAAACTAGTCCTGGTTCAGTCCTGGTTCAGTCCTGGTTTAGTCCTGGTTTAGTCCTGGTTTAGTCCTGGTTTAGTCCTGGTTCAGTCCTGGTTTAGTCCTGGTTCAGTCCTGGTTTAGTCCTGGTTTAGTCCTGGTTTAGTCCTGGTTCAGTCCTGGTTTAGTCCTGGTTCAGTCCTGGTTTTATCTTTTGTTTCCACTTCTCAAAGCCTCAAACTAGCACAAGAACAAACACTTTATGGTTCGTCTCACTGAACTTGTGGTTCCTCGTCACAAAAAGACCCGGAGTTGTGTTTTGTTCCGTTGGCGCGCGTCTGAGCGACTCTCCAAACGCTCCGTTCCACCCGGCGATGTCGTGAAGTGGTCGTTTTCAAGTCCCGCGCGGCTCCTTTTGAACCTTCAGTTCCGTCGAGATCGGCGAAGAAATCCCCAAGGTCCGAAACGATCCGAGCGATTCTGGTGAAGGCGCGCGGAGTTTAAAAGCGTAAAATCTTCCTGTACCGCCACACGATGACATCACGAGGTGGAACGGGGCGAAGAACTCTGCTTAAACGCGCGAATGAAACAAAAAAAAAAAACACACTTCGAGGTTTGTTTGAGGTTCACAACGGCGCGATTTAAAGTTTTCCGTCTTGAGTCTGAAAGTGCAGATGTGGCTCTTTTTTTGGCGTTTTTTAACCATTTTTTTTCCCGTTTTTCGCTCCAAACTCCGCCGACGCCTCTTTCCGCTCAACTCAGGATCTCGTTATTTTTGCCACAAGCATTTTTTTCTGTTACTCCGAGGAGGAAGGAGACGACGACATGGCTGCTACTACTAAAACTACAACACACATACCTGACAATGCACTGGATTTTTTAAAATAAAAATACAAACCGATATTTCCGCTGTTTTTGTACCTTTCTGTAAAATAAGAAAAGAAACATGTTTACTCCATTTTGTACAGGTTAGAAACGTATGCACTCTTTTTTAAGTTTGGCCAAAGCTTTTATGAATCTTGAGCTGTGTGTGTTTTCGTTGTGTAAATATGTATAAATGTGTATGTACTGAATGTTCCGTGTTCCGCGTTACGGCGTTTTCCTCACTGTGACACTACCTATTGTAATTATGACTATTTAAAACAGAAGCGTTTGTCCAGCTCTTTTTTATTTTTTGGGTTTTTTTTGTTTTTTTTCCATGGGCCCATCGTGTAGCCGGGACTTGAAAATACCTCATATTAAATGTTTATCATCTTATAATATGGTAATAAAGCATTTCAGAACATTTGCCTGTAAACGTCACTTAAGATTAAGGCTCTTTTTACAAAATAAAAATATCAAATCAAACTCTGTGGTGTTGTTTTTTTTAAACTTTATTACATTTTAACGATAATTGTTAGAGTCTTTTTCTAGAGGCGCAGAACTCAAGACCTCGAGAAGATTTATTTACAGTCTCGGTCTCGTCTCAGACTCGTTTGGACTCGGTCTTGAAGGTGCTTGGACTCAGATCTTGTCTCGGTCTTGAAGGTGCTTGGACTTGGTCTTGAAGGAGCTTGGACTCGGTCTCGTCTCGGTCTTGAAGGAGCTTGGACTCGGTCTCGTCTTGGTCTTGAAGGAGCTTGGACTCGGTCTTGAAGGAGCTTGGACTCGGTCTCGTCTCGGTCTTGAAGGAGCTTGGACTCGGTCTTGAAGACGCTTGGACTTGGTCTTGAAGGAGCTTGGACTCGGTCTTGTCTCGGTCTTGAAGGAGCTTGGACTCGGTCTTGAAGGAGCTTGGACTCGGTCTTGAAGGAGCTTGGACTCGGTCTCGTCTCGGTCTTGAAGGAGCTTGGACTCGGGTCTTGGTCTCGGTCTTGAAGGAGCTTGGACTCGGTCTTGTCTCGGTCTTGAAGGAGCTTGGACTCGGTCTTGAAGGCGCTTGGACTTGGTCTTGAAGGAGCTTGGACTTCGGTCTTGAAGGAGCTTGGACTCGGTCTTGTCTCGGTCTTGAAGGAGCTTGGACTCGGTCTTGTCTCGGTCTTGAAGGAGCTTGGACTCGGTCTTGAAGGTGCTTGGACTTGGTCTTGTCTCGGTCTTGAAGGAGCTTGGACTCGGTCTTGTCTCGGTCTTGAAGGTGCTTGGACTTGGTCTTGTCTCGGTCTTGAAGGACTTGGACTCGGTCTCGTCTCGGTCTTGAAGGAGCTTGGACTCGGTCTCGTCTGGGTCTTGAAGGAGCTTGGACTCGGTCTTGTCTCGGTCTTGGTCTGACACTCAAAGTGATAAAATGGAGACAGATTTATAAAAACATTGATATATTTGTGCCAAAATATCTGTAAAATACAAATAAAATAAATGTTGAAAATGACAAAGTTTGTCTGGATTTGGTCTCGATCTTGGTCTTGGTCTTGGTCTCGGTCTTGGTCTTGGTCTTGGTCTGGTTTCGATCTCGACCCTCACAAGTCCAGATCTGAGTGTGACCAGGAACAGGAGAACATCAGAACTTTAGAACTTTAGAGCTTTAGAACATGAGGACACGACTTGAAGCTCAGAGTCAGTTTTAGTTTTAGTTTTAGTTTTAGTTTTAGTTTTAGTTTTAGTTTTAGTTTTAGTTTTAGTTTTATTAGAAATAATTCCACATATTTAAATTCTGGCTGAGTTCATTTTACTTGAGCTGAAATATTAAAAGTTTTTGTTCTGAACAAACGATTCGACCCTGAAACAAAACGTCCAAGAAAACATTAAAAAATAAAACGATAAAACACAAGAAACTAGAGCCAGACCAGGTTTAAAACCAGGACTAAACCAAGACTAAACCAGGACTAAACCAGGACTAAAACAAGACTAAAACAAAACTAAACCAGGACTAAAACAGAACTAAACCAGGACTAAAACAGGACTAAAACAGAACTAAACCAGGACTAAAACTAAAGACTAAAACAGGACTAAAACCAAGACTAAACCGGGGCTAAACCAGGACTAAAGGACTAAAACAAGACTAAACTAAACAGGACAAGACTAAACCGGGCTAAAACAAGACTAAAGGACTAAACCAGAACTAAACCGACTAAACCAGGACTAAAACAAGACTAAACCAGGACTAAACCAGGACTAAACCAAGACTAAACCAGGACTAAACAGACTAAACCAGGACTAAAAAGACTAAACCAAGACTAAACCAGGACTAAAACAAGACTAAACGGACTAAAACAAGACTAAACCAGGACTAAACCAGACTAAACCAAGACTAAACCGGGGCTAAACCAGGACTAAACCAGGACTAAACCAAGACTAAACCAAGACTAAACCGGGGCTAAAACCAGGACTAAACCAGGACTAAAACAAGACTAAAACAGGACTAAACCAAGACTAAAACAAGACTAAACCAGGATAAACCAAGACTAAACCGGGGGACTAAACCAGACTAAAACAGAACTAAACCAGGACTAAAACAGAACTAAACCAGACTAAACAAGACTAAACCAAGACTAAACCAGGGCTAAACCAAGACTAAAGTGGGACTAAAACAGGACTAAAACAAGACTAAAACAGGACTAAACAAGACTAAACCGGGGCTAAACCAGGACTAAAACAGGACTAAACTGGGACTAAAACAAGACTAAACCGGGGCTAAACCAGGACTAAAACAGGACTAAACTGGGACTAAAACAAGACTAAACGGACTAAACTGGACTAAAACAGACTAAACAGACTAAACCAAGACTAAAACAGAACTAAACCAGGACTAAAACAGAACTAAACCAGGACTAAAACAAGACTAAACCAAGACTAAACCAAGACTAAACCAAGACTAAAGTGGGACTAAAACAGGACTAAAACAAGACTAAAACAGGACTAAAAGACTAAACCTAACCAGGACTAAACAGGACTAAAGGGACTAAAACAGACTAAACCGGGGCTAAACAGGACTAAAACAGGACTAAACTGGGACTGAACCAAGACTAAACTGGGACTAAAAAAGGACTAAAACAGGACTAAACCAAGACTAAACTGGGACTAAACAGGACTAAAACAAGACTAAACCAGGACTAAACCAAGACTAAACTGGGACTAAACCAGGAGAAAAACAAGACTTAATTGGGACTAAACCAAAACTAAACCAGGACTAAAACAGGACTGAAACAGGACTAAAACAAGACTAAACCAGGACTAAACCCAGATTGAAACAGGACTAAACTGGGACTAAACCAGGACTAAAACAGAACGAAACCGGGACTAAACTGGGACTAGAACAGAACTAAAACAAGACTAAACCAAGATTAAACCAGGACTAAACTGGGAATTAAACAGGACTAAACCAGGACTAAACCAGGACTAAATCAAGACTAAAACAGGACAGGTTGAACCCTCTTCACCATCCTGTGTTTCAGCCACAAAAATCTGGTTCTGTTCTGGTTCCAGTTCAGTCCTAGTTAAGTCCTGGTTTAGTTCTCAATCAGTTTTGTTTTAGTTCTGGTTTAGACTTGGTTTGATACTAGTTTAATATTGTTTAAGTCTTGGTCCGGTCTTGGTCTTGGTCCTGGTCTTGGTCCAGTTCCGGTCTTGGTCCTGGTCTTGGCTCTGGTCTTGGTTCAGTCCGGTCTTGGTCCTGGTCTTGGCTCTGGTCTTGGTCCTGGTCTCTGGTCTTGGTTCAGTCCGGTCTTGGTCCTGGTCTTGGCTCTGGTCTTGGTCTGGTCTTGGTCTGGTCTGGTTCAGTCCGGTCTTGGTCCTGGTCTTGGCTCTGGTCTTGGTCTCTGGTCTGGTTCTGGTCTTGGTCCTGGTCTTGGCCTCTGGTCTTGGTCAGTCCGGTCTTGGTTCTGGTCTTGGTCTGGTCTTTGGTCCTGGTCTTGGCTCTGGTCTTGGTCTTGGTTCAGTCCGGTCTTGGTCCTGGTCTTGGCTCTGGTCTTGGTCCTGGTCTTGGTTCAGTCCGGTCTTGGTCCTGGTCTTGGTCTGGTCTTGGCTCTGGTCTTGGTCCTGGTCTTGGCTCTGGTCTTGGTCCTGGTCTTGGTTTCTTGGTCTTGGTCCTTGGTCTTGGTTCTGGTCTGGTCCTGGTCTTGGCTCTGGTCTTGGCTCTGGTCTTGGTTCAGTCCGGTCTTGGTCCTGGTCTTGGTTCTGGTCTTGGTCCTGGTCTTGGCTCTGGTCTTGGTTCTGGTCTTGGTCCTGGTCTTGGTTCAGTCCGGTCTTGGTCCTGGTCTTGGCTCTGGTCTTGGTCTCTGGTCTTGGTTCAGTCCGGTCTTGGTCCTGGTCTTGGTTCTGGTCTTGGTCTCTGGTCTTGGCTCTGGTCTTGGTTCTGGTCTTGGTTCAGTCCGGTCTTGGTCTTGGTCCTGGTCTTGGTCCTGGTCTTGGTTCAGTCCGGTCTTGGTCCTGGTCTTGGTCTTGGTCTCTGGTCTTGGCTCTGGTCTTGGTCTGGTCTGGTCTTGGTCTTGGTCCAGTCTTGGTCTTCTGGTCTTGGCTCTGGTCTTGGTCCTGGTCTTGGTTCAGTCTTGGTCTGGTCTTGGTCCTGGTCTTGGCTCTGGTCTTGGTTCTGGTCTTGGTTCAGTCCGGTCTTGGTCCTGGTCTTGGTCCTGGTCTTGGTTCTGGTCTTGGTCCTGGTCTTGGTCTCTGGTCTTGGTCTCTGGTCTGGTCTTGGTCTTGGTCAGTCCGGTCTTGGTTCAGTCCGGTCTTGGTCCTGGTCTTGGTCTTGGTCCTGGTCTTGGTCTCTGGTCTTGGTCAGTCTGGTCTGGTCTTGGCTCTGGTCTTGGTCCTGGTCTTGGTCCTTGGTCTTGGTTCAGTCCGGTCTTGGTCCTGGTCTTGGCTCTTGGTCCTGGTCCTGGTCTTGGTTCAGTCCGGTCTTGGTCCTGGTCTTGGTCTGGTCTTGGCTCTGGTCTTGGTCCTGGTCTTGGCTCTGGTCTTGGTCCTGGTCTTGGTTCAGTCCGGTCTCGCTCATGGTTCGCTCTGAATCTCGGTCAGTGTGGCAGAACACTGAAGGTTGTTGCGTCACAGAATCCGAGGCTGTGATTGGTCACGCCCACCGGGAGCTGGCCTGTGATTGGCGGAGCGCTGTTACCGGGCGCCGCGGGCAGAGAGGCCGGGCCGCGGTGCTCACAGAGCGGCTTGTGTAACCGCGCAGAGCCGCTGAGACTTCCAGAGACCCGCCGCGGGTTTACGTAACAACAACCCGGACTCAGGCGACGGTTTACGGCCTCTCACCAAACAACATGACCCACATCCAAGAGGAGCAACCAGGACCCGGACTGAACCAGAACTGGACCTGGACTAAACCAAGACTAAACCAGAACTGGACCCGGACTGGACCAAGACCGAACCAGAACCAAACCAAGTCTAAACCAGGACTGAACCAGGACAGAGCAAGAACTAAACCAGGACTCAAACAGAACTGACCCAAGTCTAAACCAGAACTGAACTAAGACTAAAACAAGACTCAGAACCAGAACCAAACCAGGTCTAAACTCGGGGACTAACTTTGGTGTGTCGTGCGCAGAGACGGAGCGGTCTGCAGAGACACCGCGTGGACAACAGAGGAACTGCACTTTATTCATCACTAACGTGAAAAACTCAAAACACTTTATTATTATTATTATTATTATTATTATTATTATTATTTATTTTTTATTTTATTTTTTTAATTTTATTTATTTATTTATTTATTTGTTATTGTTACACAGCGCTTGTCTCCGTGTTTGGAGAAACGTGTCACTGAAGTAAAGTCTCTGTTCACTTCAGGAGTTCTGTTCGTTCTGTTCGTTCTGTTTCGTTAAAGTTTCGTTTGTGACAAAAACGCGGGAAACGAAGCAAAAACTGCATTAAACTCAAGTCGCGTGAATATCGTTTGCGCATGCGCAGGCTCATGCCCGGAAGTAAACACGGTGGGCAGAAGAGCGCAGTGTCTCTGGGTTTGAGCTAAAGTAAAAGTAAAGTTGTTAAAATGTGCAAACGTCGCGCGCTGCGGACGCACGTGCACGAGCTTCTCTCTGCGGCTGCGGATGAAATCTGCGCGCTGCTGGAGAAAACCATCGCGGAGTATGAAGAGGAGGTGCGCCGCTCCACAGAGCTGACCCGGACAGGACCAGAGCGACCCGCGGCTCTGCTCCAGACCGAGGACCGGGACCTGCCCCCGGGGAAACCTGCTCCAGAAAAACTCCACAGTGAAGCTTTAAACCCAGGTACGAGTGCGCGTGCGCGTGTTCAGTTCTGACGTGAACTTTTCCTCCTGAAGCAAATTTACAACCAAGAAACACTCAGAGTTTACAACCTGTGATATTTATAAAATATAGAATGTGACACACGTGATATTTGTGATATTTAATCTAATATTTGTAATATTTATGATATTTGTGATATTTAATCTAATATTTGTGATATTTATGATATTTGTGGCTCTGAACAGCTGCAGGTACAAGGTCAGTCTCAGCTCCTCTTTCTGTTCCTGCAGGTGTTCAGATGTTTTGGCTCAGTCCTGGTCTGAAACAGGAACTCCCCGAGACTCCACAGGTCAAACAGGAGCCACAGGAGCCACAGGAGCCACAGGTCAAACAGGAGCCACAGGAGCCACAGATGAAAGAGGAGCCGCAGGAGCCACCAGACGAGCCGGAGGTTAAAGAGGAGCCAGAGGAGCCAAGCGTCAAACAGGAGGAAGAGCAGCGTCCAGAGTAACTCGTCCATTTAAACTGTTGTGACTCACACGTCTGAACATTTCACTCACTCCACATGTGTCACTTTACAGACTCGTCCCACAGACACAAGAGTCTCCACCACAAACGGAGTCCAACAGAGACGAGACGCAGAGACGGGAGACGCAGAGACGGGAGACGCAGAGACGGGAGACGCAGAGGGACATCAGAGCCGTCGTGGACGCTGGAGACGCCTCGGGAACAGCTGAAAGTTCTGCAAACAGAAAACACCAGTGTCCGTTTTGCACCAAGACGTTTGGACATCAGCTGTTCCTGGAGAGACACGTCCGCGTCCACACGGGGGAGAGACCTTACAGCTGTCCAGTCTGTGAGAAAACCTTCGCCCAGAAAATCAACGTTCGCTCCCATCTGAAAATCCACTCCGGAGAGAAACCTTTCAGCTGCTCCGTGTGTCAGAAAACGTTCACCCAGAAGACGCACCTGACGTCTCACGCTCGGACGCACACGGGCGAGAGACCCTACAGCTGTACAGTCTGCAACAAGGGCTTTGCTCTGAAGGGGGGGCTGCACACGCACATGAGAACGCACACGGGGGAAAAGCCTTACAGCTGTTCGGTGTGTCTGAAGACGTTCGCCCACAGGACGACGCTGGTGTCTCACCGCAGAGTCCACACGGGCGAGAGACCTTTCAGCTGTCCGGTCTGTCACAAAGGTTTCGCCGAAAGTTCGAACTTGACGAGACACGTGACGACGCACTCGCGGGACCGACCCTTCAGCTGTTCAGTCTGCGCCAAGACCTTCACCAGTAAAAGGATCCTCCAAGTCCACGGGAAAACCCACACGAGCCAAAAGACCCCACGCAGGACTCACGAAGACGACCAACCATTCAGCTGAACAGACCTGGACCTGGACCTGGACCTGGACCTAAGACCTGGACCTGGACCTGGACCTGGACCTGGACCTGGACCTGGACCTGGACCTGGTTTATGGCTCATATCTGTGGAATAGACCAGAAGTGTCGAGCTGTAGGTCTGTGGATCTTCAGGTGAATGTTTTTATTGTATAAATGTGTGTGTAAATGTGTGTGTGTAAGTGTGTGTTTGTGTGTGTAAAGGTCCACAAAGGATAAACATTCTTGATGAACAGTTTCTCCACAACGATCAAGAGAAGAAAGAACAAAACTTAAAGAAACATTGAGTCACATTAGTCACAGAACAAACAGTTTGTGTTTTGTGTAAAAACGATAAAAAGTGAAAAAAAATATAGTTGGACGACAGAAAATGAAAAGAAACGCAAGAACAAAAAAATTATCTGACGAAGACATTTTGCCGAAAATGTGATTTAAAAATAAAAAAATTTTTGTACATCGTCCCTCTGAGTTTTGTTTGCTGCTCTTTTCTTTTTTTTGTTCTTGTAATAATCTTCACATCAATAAAGAACTGATTCTTTGCTGTGACGATGTTCAGTTGTTACCACGGTGACACGACGCACACAACAACGTTCAGCAACAAAAAAAGTGATTTAATCTCAACTTTATTTTGAAGTAAAGTGAAGTAAAAACAACAGAACAGACCAGAGTGATGTGCAGATTTTCAAAATAAAAGCTGGAGTTTGGGGAAGTTAAAGTCGTCAAAATCAGGAGGCAGATTCAAAAATGTCCATTTCACCTAAATATTTATTCATACGTTCAATGTGACAAAAATGAAATCAAACATATTTACAAAAAAAAAAAAAAGTTGCTCAAATCAAATAAAAAACAACAGAAATGAATGAAACAAAAGAAAAACTAAGTGTCTGCAACAAATTTATATTTCCCCCCAAAACAAACCCAGGTGAGCTCCCCTGGACACTTTACCTGTTTTTAAACTGAGCTGTGAAATTTCTTACCAGGACCTGAGTCCCTTTAAATACAAGAGCTTCAAATAAACTATAAACTTAAAATGAAATATGAAAATCTAACAAACAAAATCCATAAAACGAAGAAAAACTGAACCCTCCAGAGGCTTTAAATATGACCGTCTCAGGACACGCCCCCTCGTCTCAGGACACGCCCCCTCGTCACAGGACACGCCCCCTCATCACAGGACACGCCCCCTCGTCTCAGGACACGCCCCCTCCTTTGTCTCCAGACCAGGTGGACGAGTGAACAGGTGAACCGGTGAGTTTGGTGAGTGAAATGTTGAACCAAACGAATAAATTTAACCAAATAAAATATGTTTAAAGTAACTGTTGTTTATTGTGATGAAGTTAACTAAACAAAGAGTAAATAAAACAAACCCGGGACAGTTCTATTTAGTTGATTATTGCTACAAATGTAAAATGAAATGAAATGAGAGTAAATAAACAGGGACAAACACCTCCTCTGTGTCACAGCTTTTTAAAATTGATTAATTAATTTATTTATTAATTTATTTTTCGTGCTGGTTGGTAATAAGTAAAATTGTTCTGCAGAGACAATTCATTCAAACGAGTAAAAATAGTCACTTTTTTTTCTTTGTGGTTTTTTGTCATTTTTTAAGCAGATTTTTTTGTATTTTACTGAAACAAAAGTCAGTTTTTGTTTCTCTTTACTGCAGCAGGATCAGATTTGTCCAAAATAGAGACACTGGGACATTTAAAAAATAAAATAAAATTAGGACATATCAGTGGTTTTGTGTAAATCTGTGGGACAGAGACACAGGGACGACTTTTGTTTTTTTGTTTTTGTTTTTTTTTCTTGAGTTTTCAGACGATCTTAAAACTGTTTTGTGTCTGTTGTGTCCAGTGTTGAGGAGTAACAGATTACATGTACCAGAGTAATCAGAGTACAAATGATGAGTAACTGTATTCAGTTACAGTTACTGTTTCAGTGAGTGGTAATTGGATTACAGTTACTTTGTGCAAATAAATGGATTAAACACAGAGAGATTTAACTGTTTTTACATTTTCAGCCACTCATTGCCGGAAACTAAACCAGGTCTAAACTAGATCTAAACCAGGACTAAAACCAGGTCTAAACCAGGACTAAAACCAGGTCTAAACCAGGACTAAAACCAGGTCTAAACCAGGACTAAAACCAGGACTAAACTAGATCTAAACCAGGACTAAACCAGGTCTAAACCAGGACTAAAACCAGGTCTAAACCAGGACTAAACCAGGTCTAAACCAGGACTAAAACCAGGTCTAAACCAGGACTAAAACCAGGCCTAAACTAGATCTAAACTAGATCTAAAGCAGATCTAAACCAGGTCTAAAACAGGATTTAACATCTTTTTATTTTCTTTAATCAGACAAAACTTCTTATGTTACGATTTCCTTGTTTCTTGTTTTTCTACTCACTTTAAATAATTTAATGGATTCTGTTACAAACTACATTTTGGGGTGTGTAATCTGTAATCTGTAGGGGATTACATTTTAAACGTAAACTTCCCAACACTGGTTGTGTCTGATGTGTCACGTTGTGTTTCCGTGGTAACCGCTGAACATTCCGGCATAGACACACATGTAGAATCCCCCAGTGTGACGTCGCCGCAAAAACAATCAACTGTCTGTGTTTGGAAAACGAAGAGAAAATCACCTGGTTTAAATTTTTTTTTAATTAAGACACAAGAAAAATCCTGTGTGAAAATGTGAGACGAGCCCCCGTTTGTCTCCAGGAACATGTCAGGTTTTACTCCAACAATAAAAACACCAGAGGAAGAGCTCCACTGTGTTTTTAAACTCCACACACCTTCGCTGGAATCATCTGTGGATCACGTCTGGAGGTTTGACTCTTCAGTTTCTCCACTGGACTAAACTCAACTCAAACAAAAAACCAAACAGACGCGAGTCCAGGTTTGTTTGTTTGTGACGAGGAAAAGTCAGAACAACTTCAAACCCAAAAGAGTCGATTGGGACGAACACGGGAGCGAGACGCTTTCACTGACGACGCGAAGAAATTCAGACGTCACATTATTTTCTGTCATTGATGTTTTATTTATGAGTAAAGTTCTAGTTTAACGTAAAGTGTCCAGACGTCCCTGTGTCCCCTGTCCCACAGATTTAATACAAAACCACTGATTTGTCCCACAGTTTTATTCAAGAAATGTCCCAGTGTCTCTATTTTGGACAAATCTGATCCTGGAACAGTAAAGAGAAACAAAAACTGACTTTTGTTTAAGTAAAATACAAAAAAATCTGCTTCAAAAACGACCAAAACACAAAGAAAGTGTGACTGTACTGACTCTGGTCACTTTTGTTTCTCTGTGTGTCCATCAGGGGGCAGCAGAGTCCCGCACATGAGTCTGGACTACAGGACTCGAAACGGTCTGGATCTGGTCTGGACTAATAACTGGACTCGGTTCAAAGTCCAGTCTGTGTCTCTGTGTGTCTGTGTCTGTGCTCGATCACAAGTCAAACACGGAACATGGTGAGTCAAGTTCTCTGGAGTTTAATTTAGTTTTGGTTTGGTTTAGTCCTGGTCTTAGTTGAGTCCTGGTTGCTTCCTGGTTGAGTCCTGGTTTAGTCCTGGTTTAGTCCTGGTTTAGTCCTGGTCTAGTCCTGGTCTAGTCCTGGTCTTGTTTCAGGCTGGTCCTTCCTCTCTGTTGGTCTTTGGTCTCTGGGTTGGTCCTAATTCAGTCCTGGTCCTGGTTTCTGGCTTAGTCCTGGTCTGGTCTGGTCTCTGGTCTCAGGTCTCTGGCCTGGTCTGGTGGTCTCTGGCCTGGTCTCTGGTCTCTGGTGTAGTCTTTGGTTTGGTTTGAGTCCTGGTCTGGTCCTGGTCCGGTCCTGGTCTGGTTTTTAGTCCTGGTCCGGTCCTGGTCCGGTCCTGGTCCGGTCTGGTCCGGTCCTGGTCCTGGTCTTTAGTCCTGGTCTGGTTTCAGGCGGGTCCGTCCTCGGTCCGGGTCTTTGGTCTTCGGGTGGGTCCGGGTTCGGAGCTTCTCTCGTCTCTTCAGGACTTCGTGGATCAGAATCGACTCCGAGCTCCGTTCATCGTCACGTGTGTCGGCAGCGTCACGTCGGCCCGACTGCGGCTCGCGCACGCCACCGCCGACAACACCAACCAGGTAACCATGACAACACACCGGCCAGGTAACCACGCCCACGCCACCGCCGACAACACCAACCAGGTAACCACGACAACAACACACACACCGACTGCGGCTCACCCACGCCACCGCCGACAACACCCACGACGCCAAACAGGTAACCATGACAACGCACCAACCAGGTAACCATGACAACGCACGACAACACACACACCGACTGCGACTTGCCCACGACGCCAGCCAGGTAAACATGACAACGCACAAACCAATCAGGTAACCACGGCAAACCGGTAACCATAGCAACGGACACCCACCAGGTGACCCCAGCCACACACGGCAACCAGGTAACCACGGCAACAAACGGCACATGGCACAGATTTGTCCCTTTTGTCATTTTCTTCCTGTCACAGTTTGACAGATTCATCGAGTTTATTGTAAAAACAGAAACAGGAACTTCAGATTTCAGCAAAATCGACAGAGTTTTAACTCAAACTCTGACTCTGTGTTTTTACATTTGTGACGAGTTTAAACACAAACACGAGCAGTTTTCACTCACACACTTTATATTTCACTTATTCCCCCAGAGCACAGACCAGAGACAAAACACGAAACAACAGGAAGTACATGTCACCACGGCAACAACAGCACCACACGACAGCAGACATGTCACCACGGCAACAACACCACCACACGACAGCAGACATGTCACCACGGCAACAACACACCACACGACAGCAGACATGTCACCACGGCAACACCACCACACGACAGCAGACATGTCACCACGGCAACAACACCACCACACGACAGCAGACATGTCACCACGGCAACACCACCACACGACAGCAGACATGTCACCACGGCAACACCACCACACGACAGCAGACATGTCACCACGGCAACAACACCACCACACGACAGCAGACATGTCACCACGGCAACACCACCACACGACAGCAGACATGTCACCACGGCAACAACACCACCACACGACAGCAGACATGTCACCACGGCAACAACACCACCACACGACAGCAGACATGTCACCACGGCAACACAACATGTCACACACACACCACGACAGCAGACATGTCACACCAACACACACCACACGACAGCAGACATGTCACCACGGCACACACACACCACACGACAGCAGACATGTCACCACGACAGCAGACATGTCACCACGGCAACAACACCACCACACGACAGCAGACATGTCACCACGGCAACAACACCACCACGACAGCAGACATGTCACCACGGCAACACACACGACAGCAGACATGTCACCACGACAGCAGACATGTCACCACCACACGACAGCAGACATGTCACCACGGCAACACCACCACACGACAGCAGACATGTCACCACGGCAACAACACCACCACACGACAGCAGACATGTCACCACGGCAACACCACCACACGACAGCAGACATGTCACCACGGCAACAACACCACACACACAGCAGACATGTCACACGACAACACCACCACACGACAGCAGACATGTCACCACGGCAACAACACCACCACACGACAGCAGACATGTCACACGGCAACAACACACGACAGCAGACATGTCACCACGGCAACACCACCACACGACAGCAGACATGTCACCACGGCAACAACACACCACACGACAGCAGACATGTCACCACGGCAACAACACCACCACACGACAGCAGACATGTCACCACGGCAACAACACACCACACGACAGCAGACATGTCACCACGGCAACAACACACCACACGACAGCAGACATGTCACCATGGCAACACTAACCCAGCCTTAACGACAAACTCTGACACTTTACACTTTAATCTGATCTGACTAATCAATGATCTACTGTGACCGTTTATAGTTTACCGTCGCCATGGTAACGGACAAACATTCCACCAAACACAACGAGACGCAAAAAAGTCAAATATGAACGACACAAAAGCACGAACAAAACAAAACACAGAATTAATGTGATAGTTACAGTTTTTTTATTTAACACGTTCTAACATTTTTTGGTGGAAACGGAGAAACAATCGAATCTCCAAACTCTGAAAACTCTGAAAGAAGTTTTGGTTCTCCAGTTCCTCTGACCTACTGTTCCTCTTCAGTTCTTCTCCTGTTCCTCTCCAGTTCTTCTCCTGTTCCTCTTCAGTTCTTCTCCTGTTCCTCTCAGTTCTTCTCCTCTCCAGTTCCTCTCAGTTCCTCTCTCTCTTCAGTTCTTCTCCTGTTCCTCTCCAGTTCTTCTCCTGTTCCTCTCAGTTCCTCTCTCAGTTCTTCTCCTGTTCCTCTCAGGTTCTTCCCAGGTTTGGACAGAGCATTTGAGCCTTCCACTTGGAACAGCAGTAGTTCTCTGGTTCTCCTGTTCTTCTCCTGTTCCTCTCCTGTTCCTCTCAGGTTTGAACAGAGTGTTTGAATCTTCTAGTGTTCGGTTAGAACAGGAGTCTCTCTCTGGTTCTCCAGTTTCTCTGACCTCCTGTTCCTCTCAGGTTCTTCTCCTGTTCCTCTCAGGTTTGGATGGAGCGTTTGAACCCTCTGTTGTCTGGTTAGAGCAAGAATCTCTGTCTGGTTCTCTAGGTTCTTCTCCTGTTCCTCTCAGTTTTGGATGCAGCGTTTGAACCCTCTAGTGTCCGGTTGGAGCAGCAGTGGTTTTCAGGTTCCTCTCAGGTTTGGACAGAGCTTTTGAACCCTCTAGTGTCTGGGTTCCTCTGACCTCGTGTTCTTCTCGTGCTGCTGTCAGGTTCTGGAGCTGAGCGGTCACTTCGAGATCGTGTCTCTGGTGGGGACGCTGAACCCTGAGGCCCACCTGCACCTGAGCCTGTCGGACAGCAGGGGGCACACGGTCGGGGGTCACGTCCTGGGGAACCTGAAGGTCTTCACCACGGCCGAGGTCGTGATCGGAGAAGCTCAAGACCTGAGCTTCACCCGAGAGATGGACCCTCAGACCGGATTCCCCGAACTCGTGGTCCAGCCCAGGAGCTCGGAGGAGACCAAAGACCAGACCAAGGACTAGACCAAAGACCAGACCAAGGACTAGACAAGGACCAGACCAGGGACTAGACCAAGGACCAGACCAGGACTAGACCAGGGACTAGACCAAGGACTAGACCAAGGACTAGATCAAGGACCAGACCAGGGACTAGACCAAGGACTAGACCAAGGACTAGACCAAGGACCAGACCAAGGACCAGACCAGGAACCAGACCAGGAGCTCGGAGGAGAACAAAGACCAGACCAAGGACTAGACCAAGACCAGACCAAGGAGTAGACCAAGGACTGGACCAAGGACTAGACTGGACCAGGGACCAGACCAAGGACTAAACCAAGGACTAAACCAAGGACTAGACCAAGGACTGGACCAGACCAAAGACCAGACCAGGGACCAGACCAGAGCCCAGAGACCTGGACCGGTTTCACTGATGTTGTTGTATTGAATTTATAAATTTGCCAAAAATTTAATTCTGTGTAAAATGTTTCCAGATAAATGTTTGTAAAATCCTTCATGTTCCTCGTTTGTGTTTTGTCCAAACTCAGAGTAAAAGACCAAGTTCCAAGTTAAACCAGGACTAAACCAGGACTAAACCAGGACTAAACCCAGGACTAAACCAGGACTAAACCAGGACTAAACCAGGACTAAACCAGGACTAAACCAGGACTAAACCAGGACTAAACCAGGACTAAACCAGGACTAAACCAGGACTAAACCAGGACTAAAACCAGGACTAAAACCAGGACTAAACCAGGACTAAACCAGGACTAAAACCAGGACTAAACCAGGACTAAACCAGGACTAAACCAGGACTAAACCAGGACTAAACCAGGACTAAACCAGGACTAAAAGGACTAAAACAGGACTAAACCAGGACTAAACCAGGACTAAAACCAGGACTAAAACCAGGACTAAAACCAGGACTAAACCAGGACTAAACCAGGACTAAACCAGGACTAAACCAGGACTAAACCAAACTAAACCAGGTAAAACCAGGACTAAACCAGGACTAAACCAGGACTAAAACCAGGACTAAACCAGGACTAAACCAGGACTAAACCAGGACTAAAACCAGGACTAAACCAGGACTAAACCAGGACTAAACCAGGTCTAAACCAGGACTAAACCAGGTCTAAACCAGGACTAAACCAGGACTAAACCAGGACTAAACCAGGTCTAAACCAGAGTATTCTTCTTGACTTGTCTCATTGCGTCAGAGGAACACACACACACACACACACACACACACACACACACACACACACACACACACACACACACACCACAGCCCGAGGGCCCGTGCGGCTCCTGTGCGGCTCCTGTGCGGCTCCTGTGCGGCTCCTGTGCGGCTCCTGTGCGGCTCTTCTCGTGAGTCTCTCTGGTTTAGTTCAGTGTCTGAGTGTCTCGTGACCTCGGCTCCAGCGCCTCTTCCTCCTCTTCCTCCTCTCTCGCCCCCGCAGCTGTGCACGCGCGTGCGCGTGTGCGTGCGTGTGTGCGCTAATGAAGCTCGTGCGTGTGCTGTTGGATGTGTGGACGTGTCTAACGAGCCCGGCGCGGTGGTTTTGGGGTAAACGCGGCGCGGCCCCCCGCGGCGCGGACGCTTTTCATCTGCGTGTGTTGGAGGAAAAGGCGCAGAAAGAGCCGCGCTAATGGCGCTGAGCGCGTTTGAATACCGCAGCGTGACGCCGGATCAACAGCGCTCTCACCGCGCGGAAAACTCCACGCGAGTTTGTGTCCGCGCGCCCGCACGAGGCCGCTGCTAATTCAAAAGTGCCGTAAATCACAATTACGCGCGCGCTTCATTTGGATTATGTCCTTTGAGCCGCGCGTTTGGATCGCGTCCTTTCAGCTCCTTTCGCGTGCGCTTTCGTTACGCTCTGACGCCGCGTGGTTCGCGCGCGCACCGCCGCTCTCACCGCCGCGCGAGCTCATTATGAGTTTGGTGAATTGTTTTTGTGGCGGATCTGACGCGCGGCTGATTCTGTGCGTAATGAGCCGTTTAGACCCGCGTCTGTTCACACGAACATCACACAACAAACTTTTACACACACACACACACACACACACACACGCCACGAGCACGCGCCAAACACACCCGAGGCTCCGCGCGACCCGCGCCGCGGGCCCCGAGTCTTTCACTTTGACTCTTTCATTACTGAGCCGCGCTGAGCCGCGCGTCACTCACAGTCAGAGGACTGAGGTTCACTGAAAGTTTTAGAGAAACGCTCTGAACGTTTCAACTGTTCAATGAAAAACAAACTCCTCTGTTTCTCTTTCTGTTTCTCCTCCGCGGAACACGCGCGGAACGGAACACGCGCGTGTTATGAGGGAACGCGGAACATCAGATTCTGCACGTGACACAAACAACAAAACAACCACGGCTCTCAGAGTGAAAGAGCCACAGAGTGAAAGAGCCACACTGATGTTTTCAGAGTCACACCTGATGTTCCTGAGCATCTGAGCTCCTGCAGCGGCTCAAACTCCAGAATCTGAAGAGTTTTACGCGCCGCACAAACCCTCACCCACAGACCGCGCACGTGCACGCGTACGCGTGTGTGTATAAATCTATATGAACTCTCTGTAGGCCCAGAGCAGGAGCGCGCTCTCGTGCCGCGCGCTCTCGTGCGCTCTCGTGCCGCGCGCGGGTGGATGCGTCTTTACGCGCGGTGGTGATGCGCGTGTTGAAGATAAATGTGCGCGTGCTGAGAGTGTGATGCGCGTGCTCAGCAGAGGCCGGAGCGCGCGCTCTTAATGAAGCTTGTTTGGGCGCGTGCAGCTTTGAAAACACATCAAACGTGCACGCGCGTTCCTTTGTGGCGACGTTTAAAGAATAAAAAGTGACGATCAGAGAGTCACGTGAGCGACAAGGACGCACGCGCCCGAACCTGGAGTCACATTAAACATTTAAGAGTTTTTAAAGACTGAACCGTGAGAGTTTAGAGGATTTACTCTGAATTCAGAGTCAAAACTTGAGGCCCGCGCGCCCCGCGCCCCGCGCCCCGCGCCTCCACATTTAACTGAACCGA